GCACAAGCTGGTGCTGCATTGGGCTCAGGGCGGGGCATAGAGGAGCTGGGAGATAAACCACCTCTGCCGCCTAGCGAGTTGGGGTGACCTAGGAGCCAGCCAGCTCCAGAAGCCTTAGCGGCATCTCATCCCGGCAGCCAGTAGGAAGGAATCCATTAAGTCATCAGAGCCGGATCCACCCCTGCTGGGTCAGCCCCAGGCTGACCTCAGGGGGCTGCCCTGCTGGGCACCTCTCTGGAACCTTTGTCCCTAGAAGTGTGTCAGGGACCTTGGGAGAGTAGAATCTTGCACCCTTCTCTAGTAAGAGCCATTTGTCCATTGAAATGCAATTTTCTCCTGAAAGGACAAAAAAGACAAGAAAGGCCAGCAGGGTGAGGGTGGGATTTGGGTCCCGGCTCCAGAGTAAATTTCCAGCGTTCAGGTAAAGTCTTCCAAAAATGTAGTGTTGGGTGCATGGGCGCCCTGCCCCAGGAACCCCCCATCCCTGATTCTAAATGCCGTGTGCCTAAAAATTAAATTGAAGTCAGAAAAGATTTTAACTCCTTCATGTGCTTTAAAAAAATGCAGTGAAGGAAAACCCCAAGCTGACGTCATGGATGGAGTACAATTCAAAGAGAATACATTTTTTCCAAAAAAGAAATTTCTAGAGGAGGTTTCTTTGTGTGTTCCAGAGGCCACGACATGGTTAAGCAGGTCGCCTCCCTTGTCCTGGTGCACCTGTGGGGAGGTCCTAGCAGCAACTGCAGAGCCCAGAAGGGAGGAGGGCCCAGCGCTGGAATGCGGGCATGTGCATGCTTGCGCGAGAGTGTGTTGGTGCATGTGTTCGTATCAACACATGCACACATTTATCAAATTACATCTGCTTTTACCTTTAAAATTTTATGAACATGAGCATATGGTGCATTATCCTGCCATGGAGTGTGTGTGTGTGTGTGCGTGTGCGTGTGCGCGCACGTGCGTGTGCGCGTGTGTGCACGGGCAGGTCTGCTTGGCGCTCACTCTTCCAGCACACATGGGTCTGTGGAAACTCCTTTGGAGATGAGAGCCTGGAAGCGTGTGGGGCTGTGGGTGAGCCGGCCTCCCCAGGGCCCCAGCCTGGCCCTTGGCCCACCAGGCTATGAATACATTTCCATCCATCTCTGGCCCCCATCACCTAGGCAGCTAATTCCTCGGAGCCTCTCAGCCTTATTAAAGTCACAGATCACTTTCTTGAGCTTAACGCTGTCAAGACCAAGCGTGCCCCTTGTTCCGACCCCCTCCCGCCATCCAGCCTCTCCTCAAGGGCTGGGGGTGGAGATGAGGGTCCCGCCAGCCCCCCGCCCCCGCCTTTTCCCCTCCTCGATTTGATCTGCACGACGCCTTGCAGTGATCAGTGAGGTCACCTCAAGATTCCTTCAGTAAAGCCCTTGGCAGGGATACAAGGGCCGTCACAGCTGTGCTGCACAAACCAGCTTCCACAGGCGAGGATGGGGCTGGCCCACTCGAAGTGGCTCCTCGGCGGAGGGGTGCGAGGCTCGCTGCTGATTTGGAGAACACTTCTCCCGTCCCCGGCTGCCTTGGCCTCCCCTGTTATGAAATATGGATGGTACCGGTTCCAGCGTTCGGAGACTCGCTGGCAGTGTGAGCGTCTCCAAAGGCCCGCCTTGTGCATGCACCTAAACACTTCACTGAGCAATCTGTCAACATGTCAGCAACACATGTTTTGTAAAAAGCTTCCAGTGGGAGTAATGACTCCCACCAGGACTTCCAAAATGCTTTGAATTCAGCAGATTTCTATTGCGGGCATCCCCTGGGGTGCCTTTTACAATGCCTACATTTCAGAAATTTGAGCCACAGACCCCTGGGGGTTTCCTTTCATAATGCCTCAAAATGTAGGGTTATATTGTTGGAAGTCCCCATGGGGTCTTTATTAATACCTGAATTCTGAGGAACTGGAAATTACACAGGGCACTGCAGGGGCCCAGATCCACACCAGGAAGAAGAGAAAAACTCTGTGGGGAGATTTTTTTTCTTCATGCAAGAGTGAAAGAGAAGAATTTACTAAAGGACAAAATTGAGTGTGTTTGAGCTTCCTTCATTTAATCTGCCTTCTAGAACGCTACAGTAAATTCTGCAACGGGGAAGGGGGGAAATGACTTCTATTTTTAAATCTCACTTTGATATTTTAGGGGCCAGAGTATGCTCTCTTTACACACCCAGTGTCGAGGGGGTATTGTTTAAAAATAAATTATTTTTCTTTTTAGTAATTGAAAACACCTCTGCCGTGCCCCTCTCTCGGGTCTCCCCTCTTCCTTAGAGCTGTTAAGCCCCTGTAGCGCGCTGCCGTCTCATTATCATTAACCATTTGGGGTCGGTTTGAGATATTGGCCCACTTGCTCCCCTCCCCTCCCCTCTACTCCTCTGCCCTCCCCTCTGCACATTAAAGATGAGAAAATCAACCTTGGAGATGGTCCAATCTCCCGTGTGAGCCGGTTTCAAACCCTCGCTGCTGGTTGAGGCCGTCAGAATAGGAAATATCAAGGCTGCCAGCTACTTTTTTTGTAAGCATTTTGCTGCTGAAGTCTTGAAAAGACAGAGGGGTGCCTTCCTGTCCCCCACCCTACACACACACGTGCGCATGCACGCACACGCACACTCACCGGTTTCCACGGGTGACTCATCTCAGCCTCCACCACCTGCATACTCACCTTCGGTTCTGTCTTTTTAAAAGTTATGACTTAAACATGTTAAGCCTTAGGGTTAATTTAAGCTGCCTTTTCCCTTCTAAATCTGGCACTTACTAGCTTGCTGAAAAGAGACCTCTCTATTTCTATTACAATCTCATTGACTGGGACAAGAAAATAACATTGAGAGAGCTAACTTACAGCAGCCAAGGCCAAGAAATTCTAAGTTGCTGGTAAGACCCTCCTCCCTTCTCCTCCCGCCTCCCTCCTCCCTCCTCCCTCCTCCTGCCTCCTCCCTCCTTTCTGCCAGAGTGACTGGATCACACAGGGGATTCTGGAACTCACATTTTCCCCCCTTGGTGAGACTCCCAGACGGTGTTCAACCATCTGTGGTCCCGTGGGCCCAGCAGAGGGGGCCTGAGGAGGGGGGTTTGCCCATCAGGAGCTGGTTGGGTCAGATGCTCACAGAGATCCTCTGCACCCACCCCGAGCAGGCTGATTAATTAAGCAATTGCATCATTGATTCAAGGTTTGTGATTTGGTGCCAGGGCGCTGGCGGCTGCGTTCCTGAGCATTGCTTCCTCTCCCTGGGCTGTGAGTTGCAGGATCCCTTTCCTTTCTCCAGCCCAATTTTCCTCCCGGGTGCCAACCCTGTATGCTCCGCCAGGAAAGGAACGGCCCCCTTGCATTCCAGCTGCCCCTCCGCCCCAGTCAGGAAGCACTGTGCCTCCTGGGGTGTCGTGATGGGTGGGGCTGTGGGCCCTGAGCAGACCTCAGGAGGGGCCTTTTCTGCTCCCAGCAGGCCCTGTGGGCTTCAGCAGGGGCTCGGAGGCAGAGAGGGCAGGGAACCCTGTGGCGCTGATTTGACATTTTTAGCCGAAGACCTTTGTTCAGACCAATTTCCAAGTAGCTTGGGGTTGGAGTGCGTTCTGCTTTTTTTTTTTTTTTTTTTTTTTTTTTTTTTTTTTTTTTTTTCTTTTTTTTTTTTTTTTTTTTCTTTCAAAGCGATGAAATAGAATCTGACCCTGGGAATCCCATTCTTGCCATCTCTTTCCCCAAGCCACCCTCTTCTGATTGACCAAGGAGGCCTGCATTTCCCGGCAGCCTCTGGGGCTCAGATGGTCTTTGGCTTTGAAACCCTGCTTCCAGCCCAGCCCCTCACTCCCGTCTTCTGAGGGCTGCAGACTCCCCTGGGAGGCTGATATCCTGGCCTGGAGCCCTGGCTCCGGAGCTGCTGTGGGGTGGGGTCCACTGTTTTCCTGTCCTCCTCCCTCTTGGAGACTTTGGCCCTCACTTGGCCTCAGGGTCAGTGGGTGGAAGAGCCATAATATAAAAATTTAGCCCACTTCCCAGGAACACAGACTTTTCCAAAGGAGGTCCAAACCAGGCAGCCAGGGCCCCTTCAGTTTTCATCCAGCAGGGGTGGCATGGTAAGAGCACTCAAAAATACGTCAAAACCGAAAACACCAAAACAACGAAAAGCCGGACAGTAGAAATTTCCTTTTCCTGGTGAGCCTCAAAGTAAACAATGAAGATAACACCTTTGGAAAGAGGGCACGACAAACTTAGATTCATTCGAAAACCCATCCTATTTGCCAAATCAGATGACAAACCTCCTTCCAGCATCAAAATCCATGTGGTTCCAGGGAAGAACGGGGGTAGGGGGAGTGGCGTGGGGGGAGCCCTGGAGCCCCCAAACAGATGTCCAGAGCGGCGAGGCCAGAAAGCCTCCACAGAGCAGTGATTTATTTTATTTTTTAGATGATGTTTTGGCCGCATTTATTTATTTATTTCCAAAGGGCTATTTTTGGCGTCTGCCTGGGCTCCTTTGTAGCAAAGCCCCCTTTTCTAGAATTTCCTTTCCTTTATTAGAGTTACAGCTCAGCTTTGTGCGGCCCCCGGGGGAGCCGGCCAGCCGCTGGCAATTTCTCTCAGACACCCAATTACCCCCTGACGTCAGTGCCGCCTCGCCCAGCTCCCCTGGGTGCTTCCATTTTTCCCTTTGTAACACTAATAGCTGACTAGCTAAGTGCCTGTCGGCTCCTTGGCAGAGGAGTTGATTGTGTTTTCGGCTGGATACTAAATCCAAAAACTATGTAAAAATGTCAATAGGTGAGTGCACATTGATTTTGGTTAGTCACAGTGATATTTGAGCCCCTTTGGGGACTCTGTCTGGGGAAGTATTTTACAAGAAAGATAATATAACAGAAAATTACTGGAGCTCCGCGGGTCTCTGGTGGGTTTCTTAGGGGCCTGCTAAATTGCTGTAGAATCAACAAATGCTTTATTAATCTAAATTTGTGGTTTTGTTCTTTCTTCTCTTCAGAAGGTTGGAGTTTTAATGACGCAGGCGGCTCCGGCAGCCAGGCTGGGCGGCGCGGCCCACACCTTGGCTGACGGGCTGGGGTACCCTGGCTGGTAATGAACTCTCAGAGGGTCCGGGAGCAGGGCAGCTGTGTTCCCAGCCGGCTTCCTGGGGAATGTGGAGCAGGCGCCGGGCCCACCGCTTGCCAGGCCGAGGTCTGTGTGAGCAGATAAAGTGAGGGGCTGAGGGCCTGGAACAGCTGTGGCGGGCCAGGCTGACTGGGAGAGGCTGATAAGAGCCCAGAAGGAGCCCAGGCGGGCGGCGTGGCAGCGCCAGAAATCTGACGGGGTATCACTACTGGCAAAGAAAGTTAAACACGGCCGGATCCGGGGGATGGTTGGCGGACCTGCGGAGAAAGATAATGGTAATTGATGGAATCAAAGTCACAGCACAGCCTTGTGTTTTCTTGGCAATTAATTCCCCCACCCCTCTCCAGTTTCTAACCCCCTGGCATTCTTAGAGCCCAGGATGCCCCGTGAGCAGGCTGCACACTCAGATAATCAGCACATGCCCTCCCTGCTTTGGGGGGCGGGAGCAAAGGAGATGCAGCCAAGAAAAGACACAATTAGAGACCTGGTTTAAAAAAAAAAAACGTTACAAACAAACAAGTCAGAAAAAGAAGACCCCACTGAAAAGTTAAGGACGTGTCACTCTGGGAGCTCATCTGATCTTGCTCTGGAAGGCAAAGAGGAAAATCGATGTCTTTGTTAAGAGTGCCGCATTGTGCGTCTCCTGGCTGGGCAGGACAGTGTGGAGTCAGGCCGGTCCCTGCACACACATGTGTGCTGCCCCACATGCTGCTGTCGGGGGAGGCGGTGTAATGGGACAGTGGTTCATGCCACAGACAGATGTGCCCACCTCTTCCTGTGCGTTCTCCTGTCCCCTCTGCCTTTTGTCCCTTGAAAGGCATTGCTCCCTGACAATGGGCTAACCAGGCTGATTCGAGTCGCTGCGGGCTCATGCCGCCTGCCTGCACTGTAGGTGAGGCTTTCAGCCGGCCTTTTATTGAGTCACTGACAACGTGTGCATGCTGGGACACACCTGCTTGCAGAAACACGCGTGAATGCAGAACTCTGACACTCCCGCCTATCCCACTGCACGGTCCCGGGTGCTGCTTCCAGGGCCAGTCCCGTCATGTCCCAGGGAGCCCCTATGTTGGCTCCAGGATCTTAAGCAAATAAAACACTCTAAAAAATTTCCCCAGAGCCTTTTGAAATTAAAATCAGTACGCTGTAAAACTGCGTGTCAGTCTGGTGTGTGAGATGCAGGCCTCCAAATAACTGAAATTGTATGAAGGAGGCGATTAGGAGGCCTTCTAGGTGGTTCTACCTGGTGCTCGGCCTGGACTCTGGGAGCCTACTTAGGAAGTAATTAGCATTTTGGAGTGAGCTCTCCTATTGGAAGGAGATGGTGATAAGCCAGAGGGACTTTTAAAAGACATCATGAGCTTGTCCCTTGTGCAGGGTTCCTGGCTGTCTCTCTTTCTGGGAGCTGCTCTGCTCCCAGCCCTTCTCTGGTTAAGTGACATCTGTTCTGTACCCAGAAACCAGGAGGCAAGAGAGATCCGGTGGGGCAGGGACTTAGAGGCTTCTGACTTATTTGACCACTTGTCCTGTCTACTCCATCCCACCTTGGTGAGAGGCTGAAATGAGCCTTGCTTGGAAGCAAGGTCCTGAGCCCTGGGGAATTCTGGAAGGTCGAGGGAAGATGTGGGCCAGCCCCTCACCAGCCAGCCTCCTCCCCCACGATGGACTGCATTCCTGCGTCAGCCCTCCGGCGGTTCCCTGTGAGCTTTGTCTCCTTGACAGGGTGGGAGGAAGGAGGGTTTGGAAAGGAGGCCCCCCTGGTGACTTCTGAGCCATCAAAGCCAGCCCCCCTCCTGAAAGGGCTCTGCAGGCTGGCAGCTGTTTTGGGGCCTGGAGAGGAGACAGGGGGCTGGTCCTTTGTCCCTTGGAGGAGGCTCCCGGAGGCCCAGGCCTGCATGGCGGGCAGCCACATTAACCTTCCACCCTGGGTGGGGGGGCTTGCTTGAGGTCAGGCACTTAATGAGGCCAGGTCCCTGGCTGTCCCCTGCCAGGATTCTGGCAACAAAGGCCCAGTCAGGCTGCACAATGAGGGGGAGGTGGCTGGGTGGGGGTGGGTAGGTGCTGTCACAGCCTCTGTGGTCCAGGGTTTCCTTCCAGCCCACCCCATGCTGGGCACTTCAAAGGGGCTAGGGGAGAGGCCAGCCAGGCCAGGCGGGCCTGGGCCTCCTTCTCCCAAAGCCACTGGAGGTAGAAAAACACCTTGAGAGCAGGGCTGATGGAGCCAGATTTTTGGAATCTGGCACCATGGGGAGCCCCTGGTATGAGGTCCTTCAATGGCAGCCTGGTTTCACTTTCTTTGTTTGGAGCTAGAGCTCAGTGTGGCCCAATGACTTAAATCAGAGCCTTCTAGCCTTTCATATCAATAACAATAATAATAATATCTCATGTATGAGGATGCATGTCACTGAATTCTGAGCATGCTCTCTCCGCCCCGTCCCCCACACACCATCGCAATGACTTTTCTATCTGCTTAGTGAGGCTGAGGAGCAGGCATGAGGACCTCTGTCATTCAAGGGAGAGGACAGGAAGGAAAAGAACAGTTCCAGGGCTCCGTGCCTGCCTCTTCTCCCTTCATCCCCGACTTTGTGAGTTTCCAGAGTAACAGTGAGAGTTGGGCATGGGTTCCCATTTTTCAGATGAGTCCCCACTGGGGTCAAAGAAGTTGAGTATACCTTCCTGAGATCACACGGCTGGCTCCAGCACTTGCAGACTTTGTGACTCTTGTGAATTTCCTGAAGCTCTCTGTGCCTCAGTTTCCTCATCTATAAAATGGAGATAATAACAGTACTGACCTCAGGGCCGTAGGGAGGATGCATTGGAATAATGTGTGCAAAAGCTTGGAGTGTGCCTGGCACAGAGCAAGCACTCAATAGTAGCTGTTGTACTAAATTTCTTGTACTAAATTGTCTAGTCTGGTTTCCAGTCCACAATCTCCAGGCTCCAGAGCCAGTGCTCTTTTTGCTTTATGATCAAACAAAATAAAAACCTGTAAGGGGCCCAGCACAGTGGCTCACGCCTGTAATCCCAGCACTTTGGGAGGCCAAAGTGGGTGGATAACCTGAGGTCAGGAGGTGGAGACCAGCCTGGCTAACATGGCAAAACTCTGTCTCTACTAAAAATACAAAAATTAGCTGGGTGTGGTGTCGCAAACCTATAATTCCAGCTACTCAGGAGGCTGAGGCACAAGAATCACTTGAACCTGGGAGGCAGGGGCTGCAGTGAGCTGAGATTGCGCCACTGTACTCCAGCCTGGGCAACAGAGTGAGACTCTGTCTCAAAAACAAAAACAAAAACCTGTACGGTTGCTGAGGGATCCTTCACCTGAGCTGCTCGGTGTAGAACTGGAAGACAGAAGCCCAGGGCGGGAAGGGACTGGCTGTGGGTCTCAGGGTGAGTGGGGTATGGGTGTGTGAGCCAGAGGCTGCCTCTGAGGGTCACACTCTCACGTCTTCACTAGGTGGACAAGTGTTTGTAAGGCTTGGTCATATTTTGCCTGGTTTCCCTTACTTGCAGAGACACATTTCTTCACATGAAACCAGACCTTGTTTTGTGTGTTGGAAATGCTGACAAGTATTTCCCAAGACTCTCCCTACCCTTCCTCAAGATGCTATTAGGAGTAATACTCCACCCTTACTGTGGCCGGGGAGGGGGGGTGCCTGTCCTGACCAGGGACCACCAGAGCCTTTCCTGGATAGAGGAGGGCAGGGCCTCTGTTCCTTTCCCTTGGAGGCCAGTGGAGTTCTGTATGTGGTGTGTCTGTTGCAGGAGAGGAAGGCGTAGGGCATTTGAGGCTTAGAAGTCTGGGGGTATAAAGAATGGGAAAGAAAAGGTATCCCCTGAAGGTAGCTCAGCACGGGGTGGGGGTGTGCGATTCCTGATCCCTGCTTTCAGACGAGCAGAGGTAGGATGTTTTTACCATGTGGCCAAAAAGGTATTCAGGGCTAAAGGCACAAAATAATGTGTGCAGTTAGTTTTACAAATCCAATTCCACTGCAAGTGCCCCTAGCAACTGGGGGAGTTAATGGGACTCCCTCTGTATCATCTGGCACGGTGAAGACTCATGCTCTGCTCTGTGCACCCAGTCCGCCACACATCTGATCATTTTTAGAGAGGGCTCTGTGTGCTCAGCACTGTGCTGGGTCCTTGGTGATAGCAAGCTGAATAAGAACAGGTTTTGATCTCCAGGAATTCAGTCCCCACCTCTCTCCCGTCTGCTCCTCCTTCCTACTTCCCTCCTTTCCCTTCATTAAATATCTATTAAGCATCCTTATTCCCTATGCTAATAATAAGGGGTCCATAAACATGAGCAGGGCATGGGGAGACCCTTGGACAAATACTGAGGGAGGAGTGTTGCACCTGCAGAGGAGTTTTCATGAGACTTGGCTCTAGCCTTGGCTTTGACACTGCCTGTGAACCTGACCATGTTACTGACCTGTTCTGAGCTTTCCTTATAAAAGGAGGATGTTGAACTGAGCAGTGATGGCATTGGGCAGGCATCTTTCAGTTGCAAGGAATGGAGACGCATCTCAAACTGGCATAAGGATAAACCTTCAGGCCTGGCTGGATCCTTAGGAGTTCATCTCTCTAGTGTTCTTGTCTTTGCTTTCATTTTTGTTGGCTTCATTCTCTGCCAGGCTCTTCCTAAAAGAGGGCAAGTTAATCCCCCTTCCCCCAGTGGCTCCAAGCTCATAGCCTCCTTGCCGAGGTAGAGCATCTCTTTCCTGTAGTATAATGAGGTCTCAGGATTCACTCTGATTGGCCCAGATTGGTCATGTATCCATCCTTAAGCCAATCACTGTGGCTGGAGGGTGCAGTGCTATATGGCCAGGCTTGAAGTACCTGAATCACACAGCAGTGGGGAGTGTCTGCTCAGGGAAGACAGGGCTGGTTTACAGAATGCAGGGATAGATGCTGGCCAGGCTGAAAAGCATGGAGCATTTCACCACAGTCATTGATAAGCATCCTTTGAACCTTATTCACACATAAGATAGGACGAGGAGCCTGACTGTGAGTTCTAATGCCATCTATGCGTCCTTACTGTGTGACATTTAGCAAGTTACTCAACTTCCTGAGCCTCAGTTTCCTCATCTGTAAAATGTAACTAACAATAGCATATACCTCATATTTGCAGGTCCTTCCCATACCCTGCTCATTTCTATGAACCCCTTAGTAGATATTTGATGGATGGAAAGGAGGGAAGTAGGAAAGGGAAGCAGGGGAGAGAAGTAAACGTGTTAATCCAAAAGTGCTCAGAACAATGCTTGGCATGTAATAAGCACTTAAATAAATGTTAGCTATCATAATTTTCATTTATTCACACATTTATTCATGAATGCTATGGCGCAACCGAGCAGGTGAATACATCATAATCTTTGCCCTTGTGGAACTCACAGAGGCATTCTACAATTGCTTTTCACTTGTTCATTCAAGAAACATTTATTAAGCACCTACTATGTGCCTGGCACAGTGTTAGGCTAAGCTCAGGACACACTAAGGGTGAAGGAAAGAACCCCTGTCTTCATGGAGATTTCTGAGGTATGTTTGCTGTCTTCACTTCTCATCTGATCACTAGGGACAGCATTGTCTTCTGCAGAGAGACTGCATAGAAAGAGTAGATGTGGGCATGTGTCAGAAACCGAAAGTGGCCCTTTATCTGGCGTGCAGTGAGTGGGTGGGCATTGGCCTGTCCGTCATGGGCATCCACCCAGGATTGTAGCTTTTCCCCATCCTGCTCCTTGTCCTTTCTCCAGGCTTTCCCATGTGTGGCTGGTCCCCTGGGTTCTGCATCTTTAGCAACATGGACTAGGGGACTGCAGGCTTCTCAGTCTGTACCCTGCATGGTGAGGGGAGGCACTAGGGGTCAGGCATGGGGTAAGGTGCTGGTTCTTGGGTCCAACACCGATCGGGCCTCATTACCCTGTCCTACCTCAGCTTGGAGACTGAGGCCCCACAGGGGGATTCCATGCAGGGTTTGGGCCTGGCTTCAGTCTGGGTTTTCTGGTTTGTTTCCTGGGGCAGACCCTTTGGCTCTGTGCATCGGGCTGCGTGCTAGGGGTCTGGCAGAGAGGAGTGGAGAGGGAGAAATCCTCATCGTTTTCTCCCTTCCAGCCCA